TAGGACGTTTGTGTTAAAGAGGAAAAGTTTGTCCAGATTTGGTAAAGGAAGGAAAGAAATAAGCACCTTCAAGATGCACAAGGCATGCTCACAGGATATCTGTTTTCCTATTCAAAATGTGTAAAATTTCATAGCCATGCTCTACTCATGAACCCCTGAGGTTTCTCCAAGGGGCAATATTTTTCTTTCTTTTTTTCAAAATAATGACTTCGGAGATATTCTGCTTCTCTTAAGTGTGTTATTGTTTCACAATGTGAAAGTTGCCCTCTATTAAAGATCTCGAGAATGGTAGCGGCCATGTTGTTTTGATGGGGATTTTAAAAGGTGCTTTTTGCTGCTTTTTCTGTACATCAAGATCAAATAGAGGCAAAATACAACAGAAAACAAAATAATTTGTGGATAGCAGGTGGTTAGCATTTGGGGATGGCAGCTGAAACCTTAACTGGAAGAGATTGACTGGCTGAAAAAATAGGTGGGATTGTTTAATTATAGCCCTAGATCAACATTTCTTGTGTTGTGGGATTCCATCTGAATGCAGATGGCTGAAAATAGACCTTAAGAATGCCAAAAATAGACGAATGTTTAAATCAGTGCCTAAAGGCTTGAGAAAGATTACTTGTTGGAAATGTATTTTAAGGTGTTTTGAAGAATAAATGTACCTAGCTAACCAAGCAACAATTAAAAAGAAATGGAAAATGACAACTAAGAAGATAATGAGATTTTTATGAAATGTTTATGAGAAATTCAAGTAATGTGAGCTTGTATATTATTTGGCCCTGATCTTTGTTGATTTGATACTGTTTTCAATGATGCTTCAATTGCTGTTGTAAAGTGCACCTTATAATTTGAAACGGTGCCCCCCACAAATGTTAGTCGTACGGGCTGAAATTCAAACATGGTTAGTTTCCATAGTTTCAGCAGTGACAGAGAGACAAGAACCAGCTAGTCCCTGGACAAAGTTTTCTGAAGTGTGACAGATCAGAGATATCATATCACTGGGGACAATATGGAAACAGCTTACATTGTTTTCTGATATTATTCCGTGGTACTGGTAATAACATCCCAGTTTAGTAAATCTGGAACTTAGGTTTGCCTCGTAAGCTTTTCAACTAATGAGAATCTCCGGCCTTTGGGGCTGGGTTGAATTTCACTGAACAAATTGGAAGATGCAATCATTAGGTGTGGTCGTAACATGTGTGACAAACTGACGAGAACTTGGACAGAAGCTGAATCCACATGCTACTTGTAGTGAATTGGGAGTTGTACTGAAATGATAAAGGGAATGGGTGGAGACTATAGAGGGATAAATGTCCGCATTCCTGGATCCAAATCATGCACAAGGATGACTACACATTCCACAGGTGTCATATAAAACATCTGGATTGTTATTTCATTTTACCAGCTAACTTATTAGTCAATGAAGCCATCAGCGGCCATCTTTCTGTGTCAAATACAAGGTCTTTAAATATAACAGTTTGTTACAATTTGGCATGCAAGCCAAGATTCACAGATGGTTGGTGGTGGCTTCAGTTGGTACAATAGCGTTTTGAGTCTAGAGTTTCTTTATGAGGTCCTTGACACAGGCAGGCTTCTACAATACACACATTAGCCGGAAAGTTATGATATGGAAGCCAATATTGACCATAATTCCTGGGTGTAAATTTTAATCACATCTGTCTGGAACCACATGTCTGGCAGAAGGTCATTGGGGAAGCACTAACAACTTCTTAATCAGTTTTCTGCACCTCACTCAATCCTCCCACTGCCCTCTGAGAACCAGTCAATCCAGGTTATACACTCATGTTGTATTTTCTTTTCTTCCTTTGCATGTTTTTCATGACTGTTGTGTGTGTCCATTTCAGCCAGAGCATAAACCGCTTAGTAAGCCACTGCTGCAGTTTCTTGATTATGGAGTTCTGTGCTGGTTGTTGAGGTGATCACTACTTTGATCTCTTGCTACTGCCTTCTGGGTAAAAGGTGAATGGGTCCAATGTTAGTAATCCCAAAGGTATGATTGAGTCTCCTGTGCACTCATTTTGACTTCTGATTTGATTTGACTTCTGGTAATGTCTCATTAAAGATCTAAAACATAATGACGTCAAATGTGCACTTTTCTACTTGGACTTAATGTCTTGCTTCCCACCTTGCTGCCATAGGAAACACTGCTAGATGTACATGTAAAGTAAGCATGACATTGTAATGTTACAGGTCTATTTGCTTTTCCCTAAGTTGCCAGAAATGGAAGACTTTCTATGTGGATAAATCGAATTTGTGCCAAAAACTGGGTGACCCACATGCATATGGAGAGCCATGATTTAATACCATTGATAACTTTGGGAATGGTTTCTGCACAATCTGTGATCCCCGTATAGTAATTGGGGATGGCAGGTAAAACGTGAAATAGCTGAGAGTGTTTGGCCAAAGCCCTTGGGTGTATGCAAAATCATATTGGAATCAGAGAATTTGGGACAATTTTAATAAGGCCTTTTTTGTACTTTCTGGGGTTGTTATCAGAGACCAAGAAAGTAGAGGGGTGTGAGTTGTAAAATGGCTGCTTCCAGGCTAGAGAGGTTTTACTTTTCGGGAATCGTTTGCTGACCAACCAACAATTGAAGAGAGTTGAAAGAAAGGAGAAGACAAAAATGATTTTCATGTAAAGACGTCCCAGTGATGTGTACTTGTATGTTGTTTGGCCCTGATATTTGATTTGACTCTGTTTTCAATGTTGCATTAAATATTGTGATGGCTCCTCAGTGAGTAGTCATACAGACTGTGATAGAAACAGTTTCTTTGGTTTTGTTAGTTGAAGCATTGATGAAGAGACAAGACTAGACCCCTGGGAGACACTTTTTCTGGATTGTAACACATCACCAGATATTTGTTACTGCCAACACTACTCACTTGGTAAGCACTTTATATCGTGTTCTGATTTTACCCTCATAACAAAAGGCACGTTCCAGCTTAAAAAACAAAGCAGCTGTACATGAGTTCTATCAATGTACAGTTCTGTAAAATCTGGATCATGGCTCAGGCTCCACTCTTGAGGATGACAAGAGCAGCTGGTTGAAACGTCGAGTTATTGAGTCTTTTCATTGATCTACCCTGAACTTTGAAAATACATACACATTTCACCCCATCTCATTTGCTGCATTCTGATGTTTTTCCCCTCTGAG